GGGCGAGCGGAATACTAGGTTCTTCCAGGTTTTGTTAGGCAGAAGCGTGCTAAGTCGCACATCCACGGTATTGAGGCTGACGGGTCATTCCTGACCCAAGAGTCTCAGAATCGGGAGTCGGCTACTGCCCACTTCCAGAACCTTTTTACCTCCGACAGAGGGGCTCTCGATGCCCCGGTCGCTTCTTTCTTTTCCACCATTCCTCCTTCGGTCGACCTTGTCGGCCTCTGTGAGCTCCCGAGTAGGGAGGAGGTTAGGGATGCTGTTTTCGGGATTGATCCCAACAGCGTTTCTGGCCCCGATGGGTTCTCTTCCCTCTTCTATCAGGTCTGATGGGATATAGTCGAGCCTGATGTTGAGGAGACTATGTTGGATTTCTTCTCCGGTCACCGGATGCCGGATTCCTTCACAACTACCTATGTCGTCTTGATTCCCAAAAGACCCAATTCGAGCTATTGGTCCGACTACAGGCCCATCAGCCTGTGTAACGTGACCAATAAACTCATTTCGAAGATTCTTAACGGCCGCCTTTCCCCTCTTCTCCCCTCCCTCATCTCTCCGAACCAGAGTGGTTTCGTCAAGGATCAGGTCATTAGTGACAACATACTTCTGGCCCAGGAGATGATCCACGATATCTCCCATGCGGATTGAAAGCCGGCACCAAACCTTGAGCTCAAGCTAGACATGGCTAAGGCGTACGATAGGGTGGAGTGGCCGTTTCTTAGGGAGGCACTGGCTAGGATGGGATTTCCTGAGCGGTGGATCAGTTTTGTTGAGGCGTGTGTGGAGCACTGCACGTTCTCGGTCCTGGTTAATGGTAGCCCCACCGACTTCTTTCCCTCCTCTAGGGGCCTTAGACAGGCTGACCCCCTTTCCCCATCCCTTTTTTTCCTTGCGACGGACTACCTCTCTCGCTGCCTTGACGGCTTCATCCGCGACATCCACGTATGACTTACAACACTCGTGGCTATGGTCATCCCATCTCGCACCTTTCTTGGCTGTCTTCTTGTAGTTGGATCCCCAAGTCTTATGCGGATGACATCATCATCTTCACCCGTGGGGATGTTGATGGGTTGA